TTCTAAAATGGCTAGAAACTTAACAGGCATTAAATAAGTTTTATTGCAGAGCAAAAGTTTTTAAGGTAAGTTCTGAACATTTGAATTTGTTAATAGTTATCTTGGAGCTGTGGTTGGAAGTCAGTTTATTCATAAAACTATATTTAAAATAATTTTTGCGGCCAAAAAATGGACATTTTAGCCCACTGTAAAAAATTGTGAGGAGCTCTAGCAAAGTCGTTTTTGATACTCACGTTTAGGCCTTATTTCGCGGAGATTTAGAAAAACCTTAAAATAGTTCCTAAGTATTTTCCATCTTAATTTATTTATCACTTTTTTTATTTGAAACTAAAATTTTAGATGGGATATATCTATGTCTAATGGTTGTGTATGTATTTGAACGCATGCTTTATTTTTCAGTCGATGGATATCCACGCCGCTCACCCATCAACGTGAACTTTTATGATATCGGCTTTCGTCTAAAAGCCCCAGGAGATTTTATACCTGAGGAAATAGATAATGCACTTGACACCCTATATAATCGCACCGTCGAGCAAGAAAGAACACAACTTATACAGCTGCAGTATGTTTTTCAGGGTCTTTCATCGGTCGCCTACAATACTTATATACCATGCACTAGTACGAATTATGCCCCGGATCGCTCAAATCAACTTAAAGGAATTATACGCGATTATTTCGAAAATGACTATCCGAAAGAACTTAAGTTGGAAGCTGATGTAAGTAAACCCATACATTGTTCGTAAGCAGTTATATAGAAATTTTGTTTGGTACTACACTATTTATAACAGAATCCAGACAGAATTACTTAGAATCTTTTGTATTGGGTTGGAAACTCTTAATTTCTAAATATTGTTCGCACTATTACAGGCTTCCGACTTATCCGATGCAGATATTGAAAACGATGTACTTTCGCTCATCAACATGTATCCCGATAATAACTTCAGTGGTCGTAACATTGCTCGCATCTTCCATGGAATTTCCAGTCCTAACTATCCTGCTGTTATTTGGGGCCGTTGCAAGTATTGGAGAGCTCATTCAAATGTTGATTTTAATAGAATTCTTAAACTAGCAAACACGCTTATTGTACGGCTTCGCATGTAATTTTAACCAATATTTAATTTGACGTCTTTGACTTAACAACGTCTACGTAGTTTGCTATACATATTTATATTCATAGTCAACTAAACTTTTAACTGATATTTGTTTGAATAAAAAAAAAAATAATGGCATAGTTGTGATTACGAGAACAAATCTATGTATGTATATTTTAGTCAAATAAAAGACTGGAAATTCTAAAAGAAGGCGTCACTTAAATTTTATAAAGGACTTTGGGTCGAAGCCGAGCTTCTCCTTCAATTTTGTTGCAGTTATGCACTCGGTAAATCCAGCGGCTCCGCTGGCTAGGTCATGCGTTCAAATGCACAGAAACGCTCCAGCTCTGAAAGTATTCAACGCGGGTCGCGATGCTGGTAACAGAGGAAGAAAAAAGCCTCTTCTGCTTTTTTCACAGATTTTGGTAGGATGTATTAAAATACACCTTCAATAAAAATTGTTAAGTGTTAGTACCAAATACAATGGAGTTACATGCCACTTTTTAAAAAGCCCTACTGGTTTTTGATACTCTTTAAAATGTTTTTTGCTTTTCCTGTAAAATAAAAAAAAGTAAGTGCGCCTGGGCCACACTGGAGAAGTGAAACTTACCCACCATGCAAAACATGAGAAATAGGCAACAATCGTCAATGGCAACAAATTGGCGACTCACCGATTTATTGCTGTGGTGACAAATCGGCAACACCACTTCGTTCATGTCAATTTTGAATAAAAAAGTTCTCAAAAATTCGGAAACTTATGAATATGGCGTCAATAGCATTGGCCAAAAGCATCTAAATTATGCCCAAGGACAAGATTGAAAAAATAGGAAGTCTCACAGCGAGAAAATGAATTAATTCCGATTGTAAGTTGCAATTTGGTATACAAAAAAATAAATGAAGTATTAAGAAGAATAAAATTATTCCAAATATCGCCTGAAGCGATAAGAAAAGGACTCATTCAGGTAATAAGAAAACGACTCACCCAGGCGAGTTGCCTTCGGCGGACGTTTTAGAGCGACCGGTAATAGGAAATCGATTCGATGGCAATATTACCGGCAATAAATTTGTTTCCGAGGGCGACACGTTTTCTTATTGCCGGCAACACAAATTGTTTGGTGGGTTACGTTACATATCTATTTGTCTCATAACCAATATATGTATGTAAATACATACATACATACATCTGCTTTTGCTTCAGGTTATATTTTTTGTCTTTTTTTCTATCTAGATCCCGCCCTCTACCCCATGTTCTTTCTAAATATATTTATGTTATTCTGTTTTCCTTTATCTTAATTTTTATCTTTATACTCTATCGGTAACAAATTCGATAACAAATTTTGAAGCAAAATCGATAATATTGGTAGCGATAAAAATATCGATAACAAAATCGATAAATAATTGATAACAAAATTGATTAGAAAATCGATAAAAATATCGATAACAAATTCGATAGAAATATCGACAAATATTCGATAACAATATCATTAACAGAATCGATATATAATCGATAACAATATCGATAACAAAAAAAAAATATATCGATAACAAATTCGATAAAAAGATCAATAACAACATCCACAAAAAACCAGTACCAATATCGATAACAAATTCGTTAAAAATATCGATTACAAAATCGATAACAAATTGATAAGAATAGCGATAGCAAAATCGATAAAAATATCGGCCCCTATTATGAGTTGCATTCGATTTTCGACTGTGGTCGACAGTGCTGAGCGAACGAATTTTCATTTGGTATTATGGCGCTCATTCGATGAAGAATAGCGCTATTGTGAATTTTGCTCGTTTAGGTTGTTCACAATAGTATATTTTTCACCGCTGAGAAGCTTTGTTTACAAATCGAGTAAACTAAATAGTGTGCTTATACATATTTATGCAAATTTGTTCTAATTAAAATGAAGTAAAAAAGAAAGCAATTTTATAAAAACGTGGTAAAATGAGTACGAGTTCTGGTTCAACGATTCGTCAGAGGATGAGAGCTTAGTAAGCTGGCCAGGAGTAGCAAATGCTCTCTTAAACATTTAAGTTTATTAGTCTTTCGAATATATCTGTGTTCGTATGGAAAAGTAGCTTATGTCGAAAGGCCGACTTTAGTATAATGTGGCATTCCTTTTATTTTTTAAACGACAAGGAATTTTTTGATGAGACTTAATAGGAATATTGACTTGCTATTATCGGAACTATTTCTTGCACGTTTATTAGCCAGAAGTTGTTTAACGGCTTAGCGCCCGTAAGTCATTCGTAATTGTATGCTGCGAATGCCGATTTATACTAAAGTCAGCCTTTCGACATAAGCTACTTTTCCATACGAACACAGATATTTTGATATACAATATATTTAAGAAATTTGTCTACAGATTCATTAAAAAGTTCCGACCATCTAAAGAGGCGTTTGTGAGCCAAATCTATTTAAAATATTTTAAAACTAT